TACAAGCATATAAAGTTTAGTTCTAGAAGACAAAGAAAGTCAAAAACATCAAATAGGTGTAACAATGTACAGAAAATAAAGATAGATTATACAGATTAATTAAACAAACCAAATGACCATAATTATATTCATAGCAGTAACAAATTTCTGACAAAAAGTTACTAACCATTCTTTCATAAACAAGGATGAAAACAATTTAGTATAGTTGATGACATGGTTAACCGTATCAGCACGTGAAAACAAGAAATGTGCAATTGTGCATGTCATAAACCTTACATCTGCATTGTAGTCTAGTAAAATCTTCATAACAGCACCATGATTTTCCGTTGCAGCAACATGCAGTGGCGTCCCGCCGCAAGACAAAGAATTAACATCAGCTCCTTTTGAGAGCAAGAGCTCTACCATTACACATATTCCTGTATTAAATATATACATATAAACGAATATTAAGGTTTAATGAACCATTATGCCACATCCTCATATAACCAAACATGCACATTTGAGCACGTGTTTCCAATGCCACTAGATCCAATATTTATTAGTTCTAGACAGATTATTAGAAAATCCATAATTAGCATCAACTAAAGCTATAGTGACAGTGTAATACAATACATGCACTAAAGTTGAACAAAATAAACCATTGCGATATGATTAGTAAGAGAAACATATTGAATACTTGTTTGAGTAGATTTTTTTAATTATTAGTGGTTTTGCAACAACCTGTTATTATTTATAAATTTCATGTGGATTCATTGAGACATATCTATTATTCAATTATATGTAACCTCGATCAGCATATTAAATCAAATAGAAGACAATGATGTTTAAGCTGGTGTCCTGCCTATATGTACCTAGACATTGAAAGAATGTCTTAATTCATTAAGGAAATTAACTATTGATGGTAATGGTGTGACTAACATTCTAAAATTTCAAATGAACCCAATGGTCATATATAGTGTCAGAAGGTTTAGCTGAAAACAGTGCTTTATTCTCTTGCCAGGTTTAGATACTTTATGGGTTTGGATAGGAATTAAAATGTTGGCAAAGCTAAGATTGTTACCATCCACTAAAGAATTTGATATTAGCTAACAAACAATATTTTTTCTACCACAGTGACACTAAGTCTTTCTTCTAACAATCTGTGCACAAAATGTATGTAACTGGATTGGATTAATAACATACCAATATTATTATCAGATTGATTTAGAGACGTTAAGCAATTCAAGTGTTAGTAAAAATAAGAATGTTTTGCTCATTTGTGGGAATCTCTCTCTCTGAAAAAATTGGAACCAATAAAACTAAGTATATCCTAATTAAATGTGACATATATGGCATGCATTCTCTGTTTTGGTATCCATGATGGATATCCAACAAGTTGTGTAGCACATTCCGTGAGCCTTTTAAAAGGAATTTATTAATTAATACAAAGTTATTAATAAGTAATGACATAACCACATATAATACATAAGAACAATGAGATGTGTATGCATGATATGTTCTACCTTTTCCAACTGCGATACTTAGTGGGGTACACCCATGATGCACACGCTTATTTGGATAAGCATCTATCATGATCTAGAAGATACCTCACAGCATCCACATTTTTTTTGAACGAACTGCATAGGTGAGAGGTGTATCACCTACAAAATCATCATTACAATAAACTTTCATACAAAATCATCATTAAATCTCCTTAATTATAACAAATAAACATCCGCAGCAAGTTTTCTATGATGGCATGCTTTGTACACAAACAAAATAGAAATCTAAAGATTTTAAATAACAATAACATGTTGAGAGATTAAATGACACCACTGGGACCTCAAACGTTGCATTATATTCATGCTAAACGTATAGTCCATGAAAAACATCATGATGCATTGCATAGACATTTTTTTTGCATTTGGTGTGCTTCCATGAATAAAGTATGTATTTGTAGTTTTCAGGTGCATAAATACACAAATAATATATGAAAACAATATCTTAAATACTTGGAAATGTGCCTAGCTATTTTATGTAAAGAGCACAACCATGTTCAAATATTTGTGTTATAAGAAATAATGAACAATTAATGAGAGCCTGATTTCAATGTACGTGCAACACAAGAGGAATGTGGAATTAGATAATTTAGTAAGTTGAGTTGAATCAGCTGGATTCAGAAGCCATTCGCGATATATATAGTGGTTAATTTGCAAAAAAAAAAAAAACATGTGACGCTGTGTGTATGTGAATTGCATAAAGAATAGTATTTTCATTCCATTTCTATGTATATAATTCCAAAATAGGGCCTACTTAGCCTAGTTTCATGTATAATCCCAAGAATTCTTTGCATTGCGGCGGCGTCCTCGTCCCCGGATGAAATATCCACCTCAGCATACTGCTTGCCACCACCTTGCATCGCTGAGAGTAAGAGTAGGACATCAAGATGGAGTGGAGTAGCACCTGACAGGACGGCAGTATGGTTGACATCCATCTGAAGCTCCTCTACTAGGTAAGCACACACCCGTGTCTGGCTGTTATGTTAATTCGAGAGCGAGGCAGGTTGGTTGGTGTGGAAGGGATTTTGGTGGGGAAGATAAATCGATCGAGGAGCTAGCGGTTATGTACTGATGTTAGTGGTGGAAGTGGAAGAGGCGCGCGGGAAGGCCAGCGGTTCGTCGGAGGGGTCGTGGCAGGCGTTTCGGTCGGAGGAATTGCATCGATCGTTTCCCCTCCACGTACGCTGGCCGTCTGTTCATCTCCCCCTCCGCATGCATGCAACACGTCGTCCCAAGTTTTATCTTTGGATTTCTCATTTATACCGGAGACCATTGTTTTTACTATTAGGACCCATTTGGCAGAGCTTCACTTCACTAGTGAAGCTATTTTTTTTTTTTTTTGCTTCAGCTCCACAAACAGTTCCATCGGTGGAGCTGAAGCGGTTTTGATAAACCGTTTGGCAAAATGGCTTCCCTGTGAGAGCATGTTTTTAGGGGCCTGGAGGAGGAGCCGGGAGAAGCCACTTTTTTTTGGCTCCATCCCACCCCAAATCATTGTGAGAGCATGTTTTTAGGGGCTTCACCAGTGAAGCTATTTCACTTTACCCCGTTTGGCAGTAAACGGCTCTAAACAGCTCCTGAAGCTGGTGGAGAAGCCCTACCAAACGGGGCCTTAGTATACCGGAGACCATGGAGAGAGGATTGTCTCCATTAACAGTTACTTCCTCCGTTTTATTTACATGTCACATTATCTTTATCCTAAGTTAAACATTACTATCTTTAACCATCCATGCATTTCAAAAAATCTTTATAGTTTCACAATATATAAATTATAGACTATGAAAGTATTCCTTGTAGTGAGTCTAAAAACATAAATCCTGCTATGTCATGAATTTATTTAAATTTTATGAAATCGATGTTTGACTTAGGACATAGCTAACATGACATGTAAGTTAAAACAGAGAGAATATCTACTCGCAATACTTACCACGTTGATTTTTACCATGGCCTTGCAAGCATATGCTTGTTTGCTTGCCTCTTATCTAGGCTCCAACAATACATGTTCGAATTGTTTGGTTGCTTGATACCGACCACACTAAAACCAGGCTCGTTGGAAACGCGATGGATAGGTTGTGCTAGAAAGTTGTACTGCATTGCCTAACCGCCCACTTATGCTCCTGCACCATGCCGCTGGCCCGCCCACCTACCCCCTTCACACCCCGCTGCGTGTGGAATCACTGCCACACCGGATACTTACCGCGTTGATTTTTACCATGGCCTTACAACCACATTTCCTTAGGTGTAACTGAAAACCGCTAAGGCTGTGAATTAGAGAATGCATATTGGCGTACAATTTTATGTTGTTATGCATTAGAGAATGCATATTGGCACTTAGCTTGAGATTTCTAGTTAGTTTTTTAGCTAGGATGCAACATATTAATATCATATGAAGGCAAAGTTTATATCAAAGTTATGGATCTCGAAGCCATATACAACTTTGCAGTTGATGGCTTTTTTATTTAAAATTAATTAAAGTCCACAAACTATGTTTTAAGTTCTTAGAGTTTCAAAATCCAATTTGTTTTGAATTTGTTAAACGGCCTCATATGGTCATATTCCAAGATGTTACATTCTTGTGTTATCATTTATGCTAAAGGATATATGATAACATTGTGTTAAATATTACAAATAAACAAGTTGCGATCAACAATATACCACTTGGTATAATTTGTCCGTTGTTCATTTGAAAATTGAAACATTATTACTCGCATCTGCTCAAGACATTTTGTAACGTTCAGGGATGTTCAATGCGTATTCATTCCATCTATATATATTTGAGGATATCAATGAGAAACCATGCACATCCAGAGGACTCTTTGAATCGTGTAAGTGCATTGTAAGTATACCTTCATTGACATATAGGTATATCAACAGTAATATAAATATGAAAAATTATTGACTATGCCATGTACAACGCTAACCATGCAGATCCGTGCTACATGGACATGGTTCACTACATGTGCATGAGCATGAAGTTGAACAACAAATACTGCCACACCGGATACGGAGAGTGTTCGGCTGCTATTATAAGCCGGCTTATAAGCCATGGTACAATATTTTTATCTCCTAACAAATCAGCCGTACAAATTAGCACAAGCGACTTTACGAGCAGCCGAATAGAGCCCTCGTTAACTTCCTTATCATCATGATAAGAACGGCTACATGTAAGCATGCGAACATAAAGCATAGGTAGAGTGTTGTAATAAAAGGAAAAAAAAAGAGAGCAAAGATAGAGAATTTGACTCTTCTGCGCTTTAGCCGGATGAATCTGATACGGCATACTTTGGGTTAGCCTAGCTGCAGCCTGCATTATAAACTCTGCTGACGCTGACAACTGGGGCCGGTAGGCCCTCGTCTCTGTGTAGAGAGGTCCACACTCTACACTGTACGGTAGGATACAGACTCTGCCCTGACACTGACACGTGGGCTCCCTTGGCTTGTACTAAGTGTACACTGCCTATCCTAGCACGCGCTGCGCAGCCACGAGCGCGCCGAGCCGCGGCCGCCGAACATCTCGTCGAGGGCGATGACGAGCCCCATGGCGAGCGGCGCGCCGAGGCGGGGACTCACCACGAGCCTGAACACGTCGTCGCCCACGGCCTCCTTGCGCCGCACCTCGGCCACGACGTCGCCGCGCGCGTCGCGCACGGCGCAGGCACGCCGGCCGTACGAGCCCTCGACCACGAACGCCTCGGATGTGGCGGTGGGCATGACGACGCGCGCCAGCGTCTTGCCGCTGCCGGAGGAGTGGAGGCCGCCGACGTGGCGGCAGACGGAGAGAAGAGGGCGAGGCGGCGGCGTGGTGCCGGCGTCGGCGCCGTCGTAGATGAGCCAGCGTTCCGCCAGGCTGAGCCTCTTACGGCGTACCGTGAGGAGTGGCGCCCCCGCGGCGTCCATGAGCACGACCTCGGCGCGCCTCCGGGAGGCGGCGTAGCAGTCGACGCGGAAGGCGAGGACGCCCCTGGCGTCGTAGACGGTGAAGCCGTCGCAGTTGAAGAGCAGCGACTTGCGCCATACTGTCAGCACCGTGGGCGGTTCCGTTTCTTGGTCCGCAGCAGGTCGGGTGGTGGTGGTGGTAGTGGGTGTGGCGAGCTCTGCCGCGACGGCGGCGGCGTTGGGGTGCACCTTGGCCATTACTATTGCTCTCCTCTGCTTCTGCTTGTTGGGACTTGGGATTGCTAGGTTGGAGGTGCAGAGATGAGACGTGGGGGGATTTATCCCAGACGAGTGGCATGCGTGGGTGGCTGGGCTTGCGCGGGCGCGGCGGAGACGGCGAATGGCATGTGGATGTGGCCTACTGGCCTCGTCCTCTGTCTGCTCTGCTCCTGGCCCCGGTGCCAGTGTGCCACTGCCAGAACATATCGAGCTGCAAATATACTAGTACCCGAGTAGGAGTAGCTGGTAATTCTTCGGCATTCAGCTAGCATTTAGGTGGAAGGAGAATTGATTCTTGGCCACCCCGCACCGCATACCGACTTGTCAATATAATGCTCCGCCACTTTTGTTTCGTCACTTCACTTCATCATGCACGTCAAGGTTACGCTTTCGGCCATCCCAGTCCACACGTCCATCGCACTTTGCCTCTCTTCTTAGGCGATCAATTGCATCGACAAGCTGCGGAGAGCGTTCATTTGGGCGGGCGCAGACTCGGTTTCTAGGGGCGTTGCAAGGTCGCCTGGCCAACGGTCTGTATGCCGCGCGACCTAGATGGCCTCGGCATAACGGCCCTTCGCCGCGCCGGTGTGGCGCTCCAGGTTCGGTGCCCATGGCTCCGTCGCGTCGACTCTGAGCGTTCTTGGGGGTCCCAAGCTACCGGAACGCGAGGAACGCATGGTCGCAGCAGTCTTCGAGGCGGCCACGGTCTCTGTCTTGGGGAACAGCGAGTCCACACTCTTCTGGCGGGACAACTGGCTCCAGGGGCGCCGGCGGTGTTCGCGGCGGTGCCAAAGAGAAGACGACAAACCTCCGTCGCTGAGGCACTCCATGGAAGAGCCTGGGTGCACCACATCACCGGGCGAAGGACCATGAGGCTCATCACTGAATTCATCAACCTATGGAACATGGTGGAGCAGGTGCAGTTGTCGCCCGACGTGCCTGACACGTTCAGCTGGCGGCTCACGGCGGACAGATAGTACTCCGCGTCGTCGGCCTATGACGCGATGTTCGTTGGTTCTTCTAGACCGCTTGGGGCGAAAGTTGATCTGGAAGACGTCGGCGCCTCCGCGTGTCAAGTTTTTCTTCTGGCTAATCATGCATGGGCGCTGCTGGACGGCGCATAGGCATGGTTTGCAGGACAGCGACGCCTGCATTATCTGTGACCAAGCTGCGGAGACGATGGACCATCTAATCCTCAGCTGTGTCTTCAGCCGTGAGGTTTGGGATTCATGCCTCCAAAGTTTCCTCCTGCATGATCTGGTCGTCGTTCAGCAAGAGGACATCATGTGGTGGTGGACGACCTCCAGGAAATGGCTGCCCAATGAGTTGCGCCGTGGTTTCGACTCATTTTTGCTTCTCGTCGGCTGGCTCCCTGTGGAAGGAAAGAAACGCTAGAACGTTCAACCGCGTCGCTTCGTCACCGGCATAGCTGTTGGAGTCCATTGAGCAGGAGGTCTCGCTTTGGTGCGCGGCCGGGTATAGGCAGCTGGGAGCACTTGACTCGCGCCGCCGATCCGTCTGTTTATGTAGTTCTCTCTAGTCGCAAAATTAGTACCATGTAATCACAATCACGTGCGAGTTTTTGGAGGGCGAGGGCTTGGGCTTAGGTAATCTTAGGTTTACCATATCCCACACTTTTGTAAAAAAACTTCTTAATCTTGCTTAATGAAAAACGTGCCAATGCACGCTCTCGAAAAAAAAACTTCATCATGCACTCAGCGTACAGCATATACACAAAGTTATTCTCAACTGATAATGGTCGGCAAAAATAAAGCAATAATGCAACAAAGGAAGCTATCACATAACCCAAGTAGCGTTGTGGGGGAGAGTAAAGCTGTTTCATTCCGAATCAATTACAGGGTCATCAGGCGCCCCATGTTGTGCTTGTTACAGTTCAGTTAGATCTATCTTTTTGCTTTTTGTGATCTCATTAGGTCATGAACTTTAGGTTTGATAAGGATTTGTGATTCGGGCTTAAGATTGTTGTCACTGTCACAAATGGGTTTGTGACATGTAAGACAAGATGCTGAGAAAAATTATGACCTATCATAGTTGCGGCGGTCAACATTCGTGTAAGAAGATGTGGTGATGGCATCGACAAATTAAAACTAGGTAGGCATCCACATGTTATCGTGTGCTTTGTTGGGATGGCTGCTAGCAGCGAAGCATAGAGGCTGGCTCCGCATATGGCACGGCAAATGCAGTGAGGAACTACATCAAAAGATGGTGCTTGCAACAACGATGGCGTAGAACTACAAGGCTTGTAGCAGACTATGACGACTACATGGCTAGGGTTATCCCGATGAGGAACATCGTCGAAAGACAGTTGATGCGTGCGGAGGTCAAGGTTGTGTGCTTGGTTCAAGGTTTTGTTGGCGATTTAAATGTTGGAAGACTGCATCTCTGAATGGTGGGGACATACGTAGGAAATAAAACCTATTGGCAACATAACTGATATGGTAGGTATCATTGGCAACATATATCAAGTCTTATTGGTATTGTTTTATTTATAATTTGTCAGCGATTTCTTCCTTTTTGTACTTAAACTAGGTAGATACTCTTGTAACATAAACCTTCCTTCTTCTAATGCAAAGATACGCACTCTCGTGCGGATTCGCGAAAAAAAAAAACTAGGTAGATACTATATGTTTTTCAGATGTAACCTATATCAAGTCTTAGTGGTATTGTTTTATTTATTAGTCAGCGATTTCTTCCTTTTGTACTTAAACTAGGTAGATACTATATGTTTTTCAGATGTAACCTTGACCATGAGTGGAATTACTGGATCCATCGACCCAACATGCTCTACATGCAAAATGAATTATGCTTAATTACTTTGGCTACGTACCTAAGGCCATCCGCAATATGTTGTTTTCGAGTGAATCTATAAAAGGACAAAGAGTTTAGTTATCACTTGACACGTTGTAAATAGTAATACTAAAGCTAGCAAAACTAGAAGCGGTGAAGGTCCTTAGGCCAAACGCCTACGCAGTAGAGAGAGAAGTAGAACCGGGATGTGAAGAAAAGCATCTGACGACTTTTTGGTAGAGAGAAGAGCATGCAACCACTACTTGGAAACCCGCACTTTGCCGAGTGCCTGTGGCACTCGGCAAAGGCTTTGCTGAGTGCCGCACTCGGCAAAGGGCACTCGGCAAAATATTAATCGGCAAAGAAGCCTTTGTCGAGTGCTTTTTGTCGGGCACTCGGCGAAGCCTTTGCCGAATGCCGAAAAAGCACTCGGCAAAGATTTACACTCGGCAAAATGAAAATGCGAAAAAAAACCCAAAAATAATAGCAAATTTTTTTTTTCGGGGAAGGGCGCCACCGGCCATCGAAGTCGCTGTATTTTTTGAGCAAAATTCGCGGCTAATGCGGCCTGCGGGATACGAACTCACGACCTCTCCCTCGTGTCTGCTGCTCTACCACTGCACTACACTGTCACTTATGTCTAGATTCCGTTATCTATCCTCATATATTATACTAAATCGAAAGTAAATTGCTTGTTTGAGGCCCTAAACGAATTCAAATTAAAAAGTGGTTAACTACAAAGTTTCATAACTTTTCGAGATCTACAATTTTTATTTAGGAAGTTTTTCCATCCGAGGTCATTTGAAAAATTCGAATTTCAAATTTGAGAGATTCAAACGTAGTTTTGCATGATAAGATGATTTTAAATCAAAAAGTTGTCAACTACATAGTTTCATAACTTTTGGAGATATACAATTTTCATTTAGGAAGTTTTTCCATCCAAGGTCGTTTGAAAAATTCAAATTTCAAATTTGAGAGATTCAAACGTAGTTTTGCATGATAAGATGATTTCAAATCAAAAAGTTATCAACTACATAGTTTCATAACTTTTGGAGATCTACAATTTTCATTTAGGAAGTTTTTCCATCCAAGGTCTTTTGAAAAATTCAAATTTTAAAATTTTCAAATTCAAACGTCATTTTTGCATGACAAGATGATTTCAAATCAAAATGTTGCCAACTACAAAATTTCATAACATCTCAAGATCTACAAAGCTTATTTTGGTCATTTGATCATCCGACATAGTGGTAGTAACATTATTTACAAATCTTATATATCTCTCTTCGACTTTAATGAAACTAATATGAGAGATATGAGAGAGATGTAGATTTTATGAACAACGTTATTGTCGCTTTGTCAAATGAAGAAATGACCAAATAAACTTTGTAGATCCTGAGAAGTTATACAACTTTGTAGTTCAAAAGTTTTTCATTTGAATTCATTTAGGGCCTCAAAAATTGCTTTGAAAAAATGATTTGCTGAGGGCAAAAAAAAATGCACACGGCAAAATGTCTCTTTGCCGAGTGCCAAAAAAAGGCACACTCGGCAAAGACGCATTTTGCCGAGTGCCAAAAATGACACTCGGCAAAACACATCTTTGCCGAGTACCAAAAAAAACACTCGGCAAAGCCGTCTTTACCGAGTGTCCGATAAAATACACTCGGCAAAGGTTCCGGCACTCGACAAAGTGCCGGTTTCCAGTAGTGAACAGCCTTTGGGTGATGCTAGCACATAGTACTGACATACCGTGATCTTTGATACAAGATGCCAACACTTCTTCTTTGTGGGACCTGTTTTTTACACTACACACTAGGGCACTAGGGCCTAAAAGGCATATGCATGTCCATGATGGATGGGCTATCTCCGTGGATGCCTCCTCTGCCTGCACACATACCGGTGAATAATGGAAACATGCATATCCGAATTTTTTTGTGAAAACTGAAAAAAAGAGAGAGAGGCTAGAGCATGCATGCATACCACCGGAGATGGATGTACAAGTTCCCCTCCTCTAATAATAATAAATTAAGCCATGCTTAGAAGTTGTTGCAATTAATTAATAAATTACACCAAAAGAAAAGGGTGTGATGAGTATGTACCACCCACATGCAGCTCGATCCCTTTACACTGTAACTTGAGAGAGTACTACGTTTTTTATTCGTATAAACAACCAG